AGTTTCAGCCCTAAATATCATGTTTTATTTGGGGTGTAAATTCTTTATTAGTGTCGTATAAATAAAATGTTATCCTTATCAATTAACAATCATGATTTGGTCAAATCTTTCTAATTTCTTTTACATTAGTATAATTCTAAATACATTTTTTCTGTAATAAAAACAGATTTTAACATAAAGTAGTTTTATTTCTGTGTCAGCAGGATGTTTTTCTAGGCAGCCTGTAGAATAAAGCTGTTAAATGAATGTTTTTTCCTGCAGGTATCCGTTATCCTCTCCTCCATTTTCCTCTCCATTAATTCGCGCTTCATGAGCCTGCAGCTGTGAAAGCTCAGCAACGTTTCTTCTGGGTCATCAAAGCGATTATTGCACCTTTAAGTCAGATCCAGTCGTGGTTTAGATCCTGTGCAGCCGTCGGGCTTTAGTGGTTTCAGGTGTAACGCAGACTGTCGCTGTTAAAGACTTTCTGAAACCTTTTTACTGAAATCAACAATAATAAACTGAGAAACCTTCAACTGTTTGATTCTTTTATTTTCTCCTAATTTTCTACTGAAAAAGGAACAAAATATTTTCCAACCCCAGCTTGGCGTCCATATTGGTTGGTACAATAATCTGATTTCCTTAAACCTTTGGACATGAAACCGCTTTAATGGAACGGCTGCTTTCTTACAGCTGATTGGCCAATAATGCTCCTAATCAGTCCCCAGTCCCGCCCACAGCATGTCGGGTTAAGCAGACATTAAAAACCAGCTCATGTTTACAAAGTTGGCAGAAAAATGAATCTGCTAAACAATAAATTAGCTCCTCTATTATTTACTCGCAGCTGTGCCACTGAATCACAGGATGAAGTTTGCCAAAGTTTAACATCTGAAACCTTAACTTTCTCTTTCTATTTATCTACTTTATTTACAGGCAGCATAGCTTCCATGGAGAAAAATACATTTTAAAGCTTTACTTTGAGTTAATTCCATGTTTCATTCACACGGATTTAATGTGGTGTTTAACTCGGCTGACAGATTATTCAGGTTCTATTTGCATGTTTTCTAAACTTAAACCAGGCTTTGTTGGGCTGCTGGATAAAACCTGGAACTAAACGCTATTTCTGACATTTTGAACTGAAAAATCTTCCTGGATGGAAGAGAAACGTCTTCAGACTCGGAAACAAATTCCAGAGGATTGATTTGAACTTTTTTGGAATGAGCGACATATTGATCAAATTTCTTTTTTTTTACAATAGATGGAAAATAATTGAAATTATGTTCAGATTACATATTAATACTTGAATCAGTTCTGCAGTTAAAAAAGGAATTATTTAAAGATTAGGATTCATTCAGTGATAACGACCTGCTTTGTTTCCACAGCATTTTATCGTCGTTCTACTGTGAAAATGAAATGAAATCAACAAAATGAACCCTCTGCATCTAACCCCTCCCCT